GTTGAAAAAACAGTTTTCTTGTGCTTTTTAAAGTTGTAATCACTAAGTAAAATATTTCATAGTTCAAACAAGAACAGTTTAACAACATGTTGTAAGACCGGGCCATGCTAGTATAGCAAGCGCTCATCACCTGCCAAGACACCCTGTCAGTCCGTTAGCTTATCTTAATAGCACACAGTACCTCATGAAGACAGTGAAATGCTTTTTCTCCCAGTAGAAACAAAATCTTATTATTTTCATCAAGAAATAAACACGTTTCAATGAAAAGTTTAAATTGATTATTTTCTTTTAAAACCCTACAGAAGTACTCTATTGAATGTGTAAGTAAAGTGAGGCTTTAAATCTAGAAATCACAGATTAAGCTACTCAGAATAAAAATACAACGGCTGGTCCAGGGTTCTCATTATGTTTATCCTTACTTAATACTTCAGAAAATTCTCCAGGCCAAAATGGGTACTAAAATATGAAGTCCATCTTCTAATGAATCATTGTCCCTCTTCAGGTTTGCCATAATATCCATTAAAAATAAATTCCAAAGCCAAAATGAACACTGGCTTCCTCAAGGCTCTCTTGGGTAGGAGACTGGCTTGTGACACTGTTTGCAACATTCTAGAAATGCCAGGTCTTCTACCCAGGATGGAAGCCAATGTGTTCCCATGCCTGTTCACCACCCTCTCTCAACTTCATTGTGCATGGAACTTTCCATCTATGAACTATTAAAATCTAATGTTTGAATTTTAGGAACTGGAAATTTCACAAAGCAAACCATACAATCACTAGCATTATGGGATATGGTGAATTATTCATCTGTGGGATGATAACAGTTCTTTAAACCTGAAGTATCTTGAAACCACCAACCACATTTCCAATCTGAATCTCCATTCTCACCATTGGGAAATGTTACATTAATGCAAATTCATTTTATTTTTAATCTGAAAAATCAAAATTGCAAATTACTTGGAAAAATAATGATATGGCACATTCCAAAGTTAAAGATAGATAGATGTGGGATCACTGCTGTTCCCAGTCAGAAAAATCAAGAAAAAGGCAGCCGGCTCTCCTTTGTCTTGAACAGCCCATTTCGGTTCCAGATTTCAGAAGTGTCCAGACTTTGAAGTCTATAGGACTGTAAGAGAAATTTGGGGGTTCAGCAAGGTCATTGCCACCCTTTTAATTTCCTCAAATAGGAATTTTTAAAACAACAAAACATCATATACTCCCAAATTCATTTAATAAAAGAAAGACTATTTCAACACCAGGACAGTAGGAAGCTCCTAAGCACACACTAAAGGATGTTTATTGTCACTGCAGACTTAGAACTTCATAAAAATTTCGCTCTTTGGATCTTAACTTTCCTTGGCTGGCTGGTGGGTGAAAACTTCCTTGCTGTACTTGGGAACCACTGGCTTAGATCAAAGATAAATTATGTTCAGGGAAAAAGAAGTTGAATCAATAGAAAAGAATGGAAAGGAGGCTGTCTAGTAATGGAAGTATTGGTTTCCTTCTGTGTTCTGTAGGTTAGAGCAGACATTGTTTTAATACTATAGGTAGGTGAGATAAGCTTAGTTCATTTTGCTCTTACAACTCATCAGTTTTGTTTGTGAAAGAACTGTGGTCCTGCATTTTTACTCCTGTAACCCCAAGAGCTAAAGTCTTCCCTTTGGTTTTCATGCATCTATTGGGTATTAACTAATAATATACAGGGACCATCTGTCTACAGGGACGCTCTTGTACACTGAGAACTTCTCCCACATTTGCTCTGCTTTAAAATACCATTGGCACATTCCTAACAACACTGAGCCACAGCAATGTGATGTAGCACTACAATGTAGGTTCTTTTCAATATGCTTGAAGTCTCCTGGCAAGAACAGAAAAGGTCAGTGTTGAGTTTTGTAACTTTGAGTGTCAGAAAATTAAAATTCAGTCCCAAAGGCCTTTGTCATAGAGGGTGTTTAAGCTGTCTAGGGACAATACAGTAGTCCCGGTACACTTACTTACGCACATTTTTGAGAACTCAGATCAAAGAGGCCTGGAAAGGCCACTGAAGCTGTTAGACTAATTCCCACCAGCACTGTGTACAGAAAGCCCTGTGTTGCCCAGAGCGCAGTGGCCAGTGCTTGAATGCCTTTGATCCTTATCTGGAAATTCTGCTAGCATATGTCATATAATTGAGGCATGGTCTTTTATTGGTGCAATTAAAACTTTTCAAATGCATTATGTTATCTCCACCCAGCTAAAGTCCCAAGCATTGTTTCAAAGGTGAGGTTAGTGATCTGTCAGATGCTGTGCTGGACCGTAGGGGTTCCTGCTCCCACACCCACCAGCCCCTGGACTGCTCTAGCTTTTTCATTTCCATCTCACCAAACAGCATAATGGTCTTCAAGTTTGCTCAGTCCTTTGACTTCCTTTATCACATAGAGATGGCAAACATTCTGTTGCTAACTTGAAGTGGCTCCAGGCAGCAAGACTGGGAAGATATTAAACCAGTAAAAGCTTATCAACTGATTCATTGATATGCTGTAAATTCCGGGCTTTTCATTTTGCTTTTGAGGGTGGCCGTAAGTCAACACATTAGTAAGCAATTTGCTGACATCAAGATGGATCACTTAAGACGCCTCCTGGGTAGACAAAGTTCACCTGGGTACTTTTGTTAGTATTTTTTTTTAATGTTTAGCCAGTATGTTACTTGTAAATGACCTGTAATTGCTTTACATAACAATGACCCAAACCCTTAGTTACCTAATTTATCAAATATCTGAAATATGAGACTTAAAAAATGTATTAAGACATTTATTCTTTTTTAAACTGAACATTTTTATGTTTTACCTGTTTATATAGAATTCATTATATTAACCATGACTTTAAAAACTAGAACTCAGTTGTCAATATTTTTGGACACTTCTTGTCTTTTCAACTACTAAGGTCAACAAACCCACATAAAAAGTAAGGGAAGGAATAAAGGAAAACAGAACCTTCAACACAGAAGAATTTGACATTTCAGAAATATTTAATAGTAGCTGCACTTGGGAAATTGTTTGGAACTAACTACAATCGGTAGTCAATATATGTTGATTTTAAAATACTTTTTTGGTGCTGAGTATCAGACATGCTAAGAGCCTCAACATGCTAAGCACACACTGCACTGGCTCCTCGCCCCAAAACATTACTCTTGTGACTTTGGAATACTTAGATTTACAAGAACAAGAACAGTCATATGATGTTCACTTTGAGAGATAGCATACCATAAATACATACTGAAGGATTTTCACTATATTTAGTAAGTTAACATCAATGTTATGATCATAAGCTGACACTGATACTTTACTGAATTTTGGAAGTAACTTCAAAATGATTCTAGACAAGCACGCCCTTTTTTCTTTCCCTCCTCTAAGAAGGAATTTCTACTACACTACTTTCAAATATGTACATTTGAGGCATATATTTGTCCTTATTTCTAATCTATTGCAAACCTAAATTTTTATTGAATGCTAACGGCCTTACAAAGAGGACTCAGGTGCTTCCCCAAATCTAAGGCACTCATTTGAGGAGATAAGAAATACACACAAAAAAGATAACAAAAGCCAGCAGGTGGGGGGCAGAAGTATATGTGAGAGCCTGGGTAGAATTTCCCATAGTCATTCATATGAATGAAGGAAACAGAAAAATAGAAATTATTAACAGAACCAAGGAAGCGAGTTGACCAGATCACTTGCTGAAAAGAATGGAAGGAAAGGTTGGTGGTCTCCATTAAGAGGTCATGGGACGTTTTTGATCAAGCAAATTACACGAAGTGTTGAGAAGGAACACAAACAACAGGTGAGTGATGGTCAGGGAAAAGCTGATGCAGCCCAGGCTCTGCTGAGGGTCCTCACTCATGTCACACTGCACACTGTCCTCTTCCCTATTCTCTGGTGCTTCCTGTGTCCCCTCCCAGGAGCCTGCATATTCCAACCCTCCTGCTACAGCAGCAACACCTAAGATCATCAGTGCTGGCTTTCCTGCTAAATTGGAACATTAAAGGAATGAGTGTTTGTGGTCTTTGATCTTCAGGGCTGGTACAGCACATGTTCAATAGTAGGTCAGCAATTCCCAAACTATTTTAACAACTAGCCCCTAAAGAAATTGTTTCATCCTTTGGTCATTCACCATGCAATGCCTAGAAGTGATGAAGTTAAAATCATTTAATTTAGATTGAATAAAACATTTTATTACATTACATATGAAGGGAATTATTTTTCTTATTTAAAAGTGCTTTTAATTTCTTTTAAATTAAGGAAGAAAGTATGAGTTGTTAGTACGTGTGAAAATGATATCATTCTGTGAGGCAGGCTAAATGGTACTACAATATAAATTAAATTAAACTGAGCAGCAGCATGAAAAGGACACCTAAACTGCTTTCACGGGCTGACAGGTGAGGGGTTAACGAAGGGCCTGGGCTGCCAAGTGTGAGCTCTGCCCTCAGCATCATGTGAGAACAGCCAGTCCTGCATCTCCTCATTGCCAGATGCACATGGACTGTGCTCAGAGGCTGCTGTCTGTAGCAGGTGCACCACCTGCATAGAGCAGGGAGAGAAGATGAATGTTTTGTTAAATATCATACACTGCAAGCAGTAGTGCCACAAGGAAACAGTGGGAGGGGCTGAAAGTGAAGTGGAGAACAGGGTTGTTAGATAATAAGGGGGACAGCAGAGGTGACCTCTGAACAGAAACTGGGGCTCGCCACAGGTCCTGAGGCATCCTCAGGGACCCTTGGGACAGTGTGGTTGCCTCAGAGAATTTACAAAGCCCAGGTGCGCACCTGGAGGTAACACGTTCTCAACCTAGTCACTAAGTTAATAACCGTATGTCAGTTTCTCTAAACAAACATCACTCAGAGACAGAGACTTGAGGAAAGTTAGGAAGACACATGCTCAGGCCTCAGAAAGTATCCCCTTCCCCTTTCACTCTCCCAGAGCACCCTACCTGGTGGCTAAGCCTGGCTCCTCCTCTGCCCTTCTCAGTTCCTAGAGATCAGTCACTGCATACTGTGTTCCTACAACACCAACGTAGAAGAACTCTTTGCAGAAATTGACCACTGCCTGGCCATAAATCGAAGCATTCGTCAGCAGTTGGATGAAAAGTGTGGCCATGAGCTCACAGACGAAGACTGGGAGAAAATCCAAGTGCAGGTAGGCTTTGGACTGGTGGTTTAATCTATCCATCACCCACTGCCCACCAAATGGGCGGCAGCCACTGGGTCTGTGAGGGAGGCCAAGGGGAACTACTGGGCAAAGGGGGTCCTGCCCTGGCTGCACCTGCTCAGTTTATAGCCCCTGTGCTTTTACTGTGAGGAGAGATGACCGCTAAGGTCCCTTCAAGTTGAAATGGTGGGATTCTGGCTAAAGGGTGCTTTATGAACAATGAGAAGACCTGAGGGAAGAGACCATGCCCAGCACCTTCCTGGAGGAAGTTCCCTGCGACTGGCCTGCCTGCCTCTTGCACATGCAGCAGCATGGAAGGAAGGAGAAAAACTCAGGACTCAAAGCCAAACCGAGGGAAAATTTAAGACATCATATTAGGGAAATTTACAGAGGAAGTTTAACATTACATAGCCAAGTATTTTGAAAATTTCCAGTTTGTTGTTTAATTACAAGAAAGTATGTGTTATATTATTAGTGCTCAGCATATTAGAAAGTATTTTTGTTTTAAAACTGCTTATCAAGGTGAATTACTATCCCTTTCTATGTTTGTAGGAGTAACTGTGTGCCTGCATGTGTGTGACTGATGTTATTTTAACAGTGTGAACTCAGAAGAGCCAGCCTCCTGACACAGTTGTCATTCACATTTGAGTGTTCTCTAGCAGGAAGGCACTTGTCACCTCCCCCTAAACGTGTGTCTGCCCTGTGCCACAGGCTGCTCACCGTGAGATCTCCGAGTGCTCCATCTGCCTGACCCCACTCTGGCTGCAGGGGAACAGCCGGCATCCCAGAGCCACAGTCCTGCTGTCCTGTGCACATCTGTTCCACCACACCTGTCTCCTGGCTTTGGAGGAGTTCTCGCAGGGAGACAGCTGTCCTCTCCACACCTGTCCTCTCTGCCGTGCCTGCTATCAAAAGAAAATCCTTGAGTGTTGAATTTATGCTCAGGAAAACTGGCATAATTCTGAGGGAAAAAGCTTACCTGAATTTTGGATGAACTGTGTGGGTTTGGAGTTAAGTCCCACCTGTGTTCTGTTCTCCAGAGAAACGTGTCTCAGCAAGTATATCGTATATAGGAAATGGAACCATATTTTAAAAGCTGAAAACCAACCTATCTAGTTTTAGTCATTAGTCTATGTGTATAAAAAAACAAAAACAAGTTTCAGAGTCATGAGTTTAATCACTTAATAGGAGGAGTGGTGTTACTGAAAATATAGCAAGTGGGCCGGGGGATTTAGCTCAGTGGTTCTGACATCTGCCTTGCAAGTTCAAGGTCCTGAGTTTGATCCCCAATACCAAAAAAAAAAAAAGAAGAAAATATAGCTAGTGTCTGGCCAACAGGCTAGGAAGCTGAAACATTCTGAACATGTTCCAGATGTTTTCCATTAGTAGGAGTCTCACAGCCTCTGCTGGCCCTCATACTTAGTTTGCATAATCACTTTCCTTCTGCATGATAGATTCCTGTTGTAGTTGAGTACTTCAAATCCAGGAAATTAAAAAAAATTTCTGTGCTATTCAACATCAGAAAATGACAAATCAGACTTTAATGAAGCAATAGACTGTTGTAGACGGTAGTAGAAATCCCTTGATCAGGTGGTTTCTGACCCTGATTTTCTAGTGCATCCATCCTAAAGGGGTTGTTTCCAGGGCCCCCCGGAAATACTAAAATCTCCACATGCTCAAGCCCCATGTATGTATGACATTTGCATACAACCTACACAATCCTAACTTTAAATCATCCCCAGATTACTTATAATACCTAACACAATGTATAAATCATTTTTATACTATATTATTTAGGGAATGATCACAAGAAAAAGTCTACAAACAATACAAATATCATTTCTTGGAATATTTTTGATTCATGAACCAACTCTAGTGGCTGTTATGCACAGTAACAAGTACAGCTGCATTGGTGAGATTACCTCCACAGACCAGACAGATAAGTCCCTTCCAGTCCTTGACAGGGTAGAGGGAGGGAGGCTGGGAGATCTACACTACAAGCTCTAGCTGTTTGTGCTTTGCTGCTCAAGCTCTGCTTTGCCTTCTGAGCCACCAGAAAATCTGCTCACCTTCTTGGGAAGAGCACATGCAAGGTGTACACCACGAAGTGGTGCTCATGTAGGGAAACAACACACGTCCAAGAGTCCAGGAAAGCAGGTACCAAGTAGGAGCACAGACCCTATGCAATGTGAGGAGTGTTAAAATCCCTGTTTCTATTTATTTTTTATCTTACCCTTTTAAAATAATACTCTGGTTTAGTCAAATATGGAAGTAGTATGCTTCCTCTATATACATAAAATTTATGAATAAATATCCCTGTTAGGATGAGCTCAAACTTTTTAATGATGAGGTCTGTATACCATTACAATAACACCAAGAGACTCACTCAAATTACAGGGTCATTGCCACAGGTGACTCACATTCCCCAAGCCCACTTTGTATAGTGTGTAGCCACTGGCTATGCAATGAAGCCATAAAACTTCAAAACTACTTTGCCACATGGAGACCAAGCACCTTGCATTAAAAGACAAGTCTTTGGAGATTAAAAAGAAAAACATGAACATGAGAAACAGGAGAAATTATTGAAGGCCACCACTTCATCAAATGTATCTGCACTGAGTGCATCATTCTTAGTAACCAATGGTATTGCTAAAGGTAAGAAGTCCTTTACTATAGATGAAGAGTTGGTCCTGCCTGCTGCTAAGGTTATTTTTCATGAACTTTTAGGAGAGATGGCACATGTGCCTCTAGCACTATAACTAGACAAATTGATGAAACAGTGGAGAATATTGAGGCACAATTGTTAAGAGGATAAATGAGTCACAGTGGTAAGCGATCCAGGTTGACAAGTCTATGGATGATGATAAGGCAATAGTGCATGTTTTTGTGCAATATATTTTTAGGAGGATGTGCTTGAGGATGTTATATGCACTTTGTTACAACACCAGAGCTACAGAACTATTCACATCTTTAAATAATTACATCTCAGGAAAACTGAATTGTGTCTATACACATGGACAGACTGGCTGCCAAGACTGGACAGCCCTCTGGTTTCACTTCTCAGGTCAAAGAGGTCACTTCTGAATGTAAGTCTGCCCTGTGTCATCCATAAAGAAATCCTGGTCAGCTGAAAAAATGTCACCTGGACATTTTGTAGGATGTCATTGAAATTATCAGGGCCAGGGATTTAGCTCAGTGGTTCTGCCACCGGCCTCGCAAGGACAAGATCCCAAGTTCGATCCCCAGTCCAAAAAAAAAAAAGTCAACCACATTAAAGCACATGCCCTTAATTCATGTCTGTTCACACAGCTCCGTTGAGAGTTGGATGCAGAGCAAGTACATCTTCTCATGTACAGAAGTGAGATGGCTTTCTAAAAGTAGACCACTGACCATTGTTTCTGAGTTACAAGAGCCACTCCAGAGATTTCTTCTTTAAAAAGTAGTCAACATTGGCAGCACATTTCAGTGACACAGAATGGGTCCCAAAACTTGCCTGTGTCATATTCAACCTTCTCGATAAACTCAATCTCCTTTCAGGGGGAAACACAATCCACGCTCACATCTGCAGATAAAATGGCTGCACGCAAAGCCAAACAGTACTTAAGGTGGCAACAGGTCAACACTGGGACTTTCAACATGTTTGAAACATTGGCAAAGATTTTGAAAGAGACTAAGCCAGGGCCTTCTTTCTTCCAGCTGATGCCTGATCACCTATTTCAGCTTTAAAGACTTTAAGCATTGCTTCCCAAACAGAGAAGACTCCCAAACCTAGAAGGAATAAGCCAGGTGAATTGTCTCTGTTCTGGAAGAGGACCAACTTCTTGAGATCACAAATGACAGTGGCCTTAAAAGTATGTCTAAGACAACTTCAGCTCTCCATAATTCTAGATTAAAGTCAAGGCAGAATACCCTGAGATTACCACAAAATCGTTGGAAAGCCTGTTTCCACTTCCAACTTCCTATCCTGAAGCAGGGTTTTCTGCAGTGATAGCAGCCAAAATGAGATTACAGAATAAACTGAACATAAGCAACACACTTCAGGTGTCACTGTCTCCCATCACCCCCAGATGGCACCATCTAGTTGTAGGAAAACAAGTTCAGATCTCTCACTGATCCTGCATTATGTGAACTGTATAATTGCGCATAAAGTGAACAATAAATGTAATGTACTTGAATCATCCTGAAACCATCCCTCCTCCCACATCCATGGAAAAACTGTCTTCCACGAAACTGGTCCCTGGTGCCAGAAAAGGTTGAAGACTGCCATTTTAAACAATTAGCAGAGGGTAGTGGCATCCCCAAACCCAGTTTCCATTCAGAAGGCCCAAGCAGCAGATGTACACCTGCCAACTGAAGCAGGCAGAGCACAGGCATGTGGTGAAGGTCTGGGTGTCTTGCTATAATGCCCAGCCCTCAGTCTGCAGGGAGCACCCAGACATATACAGGTCCAGTAGAGGCCATGTCTGGGACCAACCCACTAGTCATCCCTGGGCATCCCACTGAGTCTGTGAGCATCGCATATCCTTCCAACAGTGCCTCTCCTGTTCAGGGGGAAGAATCCACTTCTGTTCTTGGCAACCAGGTCCTTCAGTGGCATAGGAATTAGCGCCTCATTTCAGGCAACAGGTGCTCAGGAAAGTCAGTGGGGACAAAGTCTGGCATTGGTCATAGGGCTTTATGAGGGATGAAGGCAGCATAAAATCCCATGAGTACTGACGGATGAGTCTCAAGCAGCTTGTGACAGTGAAAAGCCAGGTGATTGTCTTATGGAAAAGCAGCTTTGTGGCAGGGCCACTGATGGCTTCAGTGGTGGCTGCTTCCCAGACACTCTGCTGATACTACTCTCAGGCTAGGGATATAGTCACGCCACAGCCTTAGTGGCCTCTGTCTGGAATGCTGGAGCACCTGTCCGAGACAGAAGCATACAAAGTGGGGCTGGGAGGACAGGGCACCCTGCCTTGCTTGCCTCTTGGTCAGGGTCAGTGGCCACGGTGGTGGACTAACCCCTCCCCATTTAACAGGTAGCAGACACCTGTCCAAGTGGCAAGAGGAAATAAATTCTCCCGGGGCCTTCTTCTCACATTCCTTTTGTCTTTGACACTCATCACTGTGTTCCTGGCATACCCTGGGTTGGAAGCACTTAGAAAACCATATCAAGTCAAGGAAGAGAACACCTAGAGCCTGTGGGATGGGAGGTGTTTCCTGACAATTAAGGTTACAATCCACAATGAGTGCCTAACTGTCTTGAATCTTTATGTACAGCTGTACAGTGCTTGGATCAAAAAGAGGGTTGCTATGAGAAGAGCAAAAATAATTTGGGATTCATTTGTCAAACCATGAACAAATTGAGAAATAAAAGTTCTAAGTATAATACTGTTCCATGGTATGTACATTCCCCAGTGTGTTTACCCATACTTCTAGAGGTGGACATTTGAACCACTTATACATTTTGACTATTATGAATAAAGATGCTATGAATATTTGTGAGTTGAAAAAGCTAAGAAATATGGGGTCTGAATATTAAGAGATATGGGGTCTGCTTTTTAAGGGCCCAGAGATCCTTATAAAAATTGATCACATGGCCGGGGATTTAGTTCAGTGGCGCCGCACCTGCCTTGCAAGCACAAGGTCCTGAGTTGGATCCCCAGTACCAAAAAAATAAAACTGACCACACAGCACAAAGAAAACTTTAAAGGACCTTCATGCCAGTGCAATTCATGGGTCCCATTTCCTCAGCCCATGGTGCTACCCCCTCAGTTCAGCAAGGCCGTCCCTGTCCAGTGGGGATGTTAGCAGAACGGCACAGGGACCTGCTCATCCTCTCCTCCCTGCCACTGGTGATGATGAGGACATGCCTCAAGTCTGAGGGGCCAGATGAGGAGCAGACCTGGTTCCAAGCAGCGAGGCCAGGGTGGGAAGGGTGCTCCGCCCACAGGTAGACTGGGTCCAGTCACCGCCTCTCCAGCGAGGGACGTGGGAGAGAACAGTGGTGTAGAGGTGGCCATCTCCTTTACAAGATGACATCCAGATGGAGCAGTGAGGTGCTATGAAAGTAATCTGGGCTGATGAGAATATTCTCATCATTAGATGGGTAATGGCTGGCAACCCCACGAAGATACTTAATGCAATTAATTACACAGTTTAGAAGAGTGAATTT